TTGTCATTGATCCTAATTTTAGTCACCACATCATCATCAACCATATATTTTCAATCACTATAACACCCATTTCCCCGAGAACCTTGTGTTGGCACTGTTACCCCGTTACAAGCTATCACTACTCAACCATATTTATACATCATGACCAGTTCACCAGAAAACAAATTTTCTTTCCCCAGGAGATATCACAAATAAATAACACTTACACCATCCCTCCAGAACAAATTTCAGGTCTTGTTATTTAATCATTTTTTCACCTTGAATGTTCAAAGCGCTAGCGCCAATCTCTCCTCCAGGTTTAAAATGATTCAATATGGGCAACTTTCATACCCCAAATTTGTCCTACTTTTTTGATTTTTTATGGTTTAGGCTTTGCATTTCATTTGCATCATTTCCACTAGGTCATTTTCATATCATTCCTTCATTCAATAAGGTAGTGGTTAAAAGAATCAACATTAGTGCAAGCTAGGGTTTCACAGTGTTTTAAGGTTTCTTTATCAAATAAGTCTGACTTTTAAGGTTCTTCTTATAGCAGTCGGTAGTGTGAATTAGGTTTTTTGGTTCAAGTTTATTATGGATTTCTTCCCATCAAGATACAAGGGATATTCTCCATTCACATTCTTCAAGGTTAAAGACTAGGTTTTTCAACTGAGTTTGCATGCATTATGAAGTCATGTCATCAACATTTCTTGGATTTATTTTCAAAGGCTTAAATTCAGGGATAAAGGTTTCCTTTGAGGTTCATGAATTGAGATACATCTCATCAAATTGGTTTAGGGTTTTGATGTTGTTGTACCCCAAAATTTTCCCTCCCATATTTCTCAACAAATGTCAAGTGAGGTCCTCAAATTGCTCAAGGAAGTTCAAGAGTTGACCAGACAAACTCTCTCCTAAGGCAGTATACCCCAAATCAGGGTTTCTATTTTCATCATAATGTGTGAACCACAAAGTACTCAAATTCTCACCATTTTCCTAATATGTTCTCAAGATCATCCATGTCAAGTTTCAAGCCTTGCAGAAGAAGTTTGCTCAGTAAATTGCTTAAATGCCTCAAAATCAGTTGTACTAGGTCAAAAGTCAACTGTGGCCCACATACAATCAAAATTTAAGATTTTTGTTCAAAATCCCCATTTTGAAGTATTATTCATCATTTGATCAAGGGTTGATCATGATTCCTCAAGGATTGCTCACAATTCATCAAAACCCAAAAGTTGCTAAATTAGGGTTTTGTAGGAAAAGTCAACTCAACTTTGACCAAGCATAACTTTCTCATACTTTATCATAAATGACCCATCAAAAGATAATTTTGAAGAGGATGCAATTCCCTACAATTCATCTTCATCTCCCAAGTTCAGAATATGCACTCCTAAAAAAATATGAATTTTGACATTATAGGTCCTTTTGAAAAGTCAACAGAAACACCTTTTGGGTCAAAGCTTCATACATGAACATGGAAGACTAAATTGAGATGATACTAAAAGGGTTGCTTATAGGACATCCAAAGCTTTCTAAAAAGTCCAAGAATACCTCTCTAGGGTCAAAATTGAGAGAGTTATGCATTAGCCAAGTTGACCATTTTTGCAAAATTGCCAAAAGTCAAATGTGCTCAAATTTGCATTTTTTGCTAAATGGGCCCAACTTTTTTATGCTTGCACTTCAATTATAATGTGGTCCACGACTCAAATACTTATCCATACATTATTTGCTTCATTTTTCAATTTATTTTGATTTTTCATTAATTAAAAGTGAATTAAATCAAATAAATGATGAAAATTATTAATGATATGATTTTATTTTATTTTTACAGATTGGCAATCAAATTATGCTGAGCTTGGATGATCAATTTGAATCAATGGCAATTGGTACAAGAAAGGCATGATTGGAATGAAAATAGAAAGATATCATATAAATTGAAAATCAAATCAAATCTCATCAAAGCTTCAAGATTCAATCTGTTTTGCAACCCTAATTCACTGAGGGATATATAATGAACAATAAAAAAGCAAAAAAGAAGGGTTGTAGTCGTGGAAAATCTAGAACCAAACTTCAAAATTTCAAAGAAAAGTGGTGATTCGATTTCCATTCTAGAGGCCAATCCAAGCCATTCTAACATTACCAACATATTGCTGGACATCCCAGGAACATATCCCAATCAATTACAAGCCTCCCCAGGTCCAGAATCATCACGTAGAAGTCACACGATTTGCCCTGTTTTTCTAAATTCGATTACTCTGATTCACGCATCATGAACATGTTTTAATGACATATATGTGTTTGTTATCATGTTTGCGACGTATTGGTTATGTTTAATTGATGTTTTAGCGTGTATGCTGACAATTGCCATGGCTAGGGTTTAAAGCCATGTTTTGGGGCTTCTTGATACAGGAAAAATTAGGCCAAGAATTGGATACTGGGACGATCGTGGCATCAAGACCAATCGATCCCTGGTCTTTAAATCATTTATCGTGTATATTTTTGATGTTTGAAGCATGCAAGTTATAGCGATGGACATGGTCTGTAGGTATAGGTTATATACCTAAGACGACGGGCTGGAGGAAGAAGAATGTGATTTATCATCACCCTATTGGCCTATTTGAATATAGCGCGCAATTTTGTTCAGCTTCATGGAAATTGTTTACATATTATATATTATCCTTATTTCATTAACAACTAATCAGCGTAGCCCAGCTGGAAAAGGCATCCCTTGGTAAGTGAGAGGACCTGGGTTCGATCCCAGGTCCTAACCAGTTTCTTTATTTTCTCACTTTCCACTTGCAGATCCAACGCTTCATAATTCCACGCGCCTACCATACACCCTTGCATCCAACCACCAGATTCATCAGCAAGCCAGATCCAACATGCTAGCATTGAAGGACCACCCCCCTCTTCAGCAATGCTATCAGGCCCATTTCTTCTTTTTCTTATTTTTTTTATTTCTTTTAATATTTTTTTAATCATTTTAATTAACAAAATCAATCCTTTTTTTCATAAAAATCATAAAATCAAGAATTCACAAAAAAAAATTAGAATTAGTTTTTTTTATTATCAAATTTAATTTAATTTAGTTTAATTTAATTTAGGGAAATTTTAACTTGTTTGTTAATTAAAACTAATTAGAAAATTAGTTTTAAACTCTTGATTTAATTTTTTCTTTCTTTCTCAAATAAAAAATAAAATAAAAATACAAAAATAGGTTTTTAGAATGAATTAATTTATTTTTCTTAATTTAAAATTAATTAGAACTTGGGATTTTCTTTTTTTAATTCAATTATTCATTATTTTCTTAAATAACAAAAATGACAAAAAAATCTTTTTTTAATCAATCGCAAATAAGATTAGTCAAAGGGTCAAAACCCTAATCGCCTCGCATTTAATTCGCCGCGCGCTTGATATTTATTTTGACAATATTTTTGTAACTGTTCATGGTTTGTATAAGTTAATTTAGAGTTTTGATTTACTGTTTAAATCCTCGGGTTTTTGGATATGTAATTAATCCCCCTCCCCGAAGCCTTGTAATAACGTAGATTTATTTTCTCGCATTTTTAATTTCCGCAAATATTTAATTGTCTAGATGTATGCTAATAAGATTGTATGGCAAGAATTCATGACAAATTAATACAGTTAGAAAACCCTAATGTGCAAAGATAAATAACTGAAACAAATCACTCGCACATATCACTCTTAGGGTATACTCTCACTTCGGTTGCCTTCGGTAAACGAGCATTAAGCATAGGTCTCTTAGTGGTTTCCCTCCAGTCTAAAAAGATCAGAATGTCCCATTCGAATGTTGCCTCAGAAATGTTGCCTCAGAAATGTTGCCTCGAAAAGATCTTAAGACTCTAGGGTTACTACTAAGGTGTCCTAATATTGCTTTAATGACCTTGTGTCCCTTTCGAATTGACCCTTACAAATTCCAACGACGGTGCTACCTATTTATCAATAGTAGGATAACGCTGTCTAAAGGAAACAAGAATAAAAATGATCTTTTTTCGAGTAGGTAGATGCTAGTATGTACTTGCTCAAATCAAAACATTTCACACTCACACTTTTCAAACAAATTTTCAAAGCAACTTCGTCACATCCTTGAGGACTGATACAAGGGTTATCACGAAGTAAAACATTTTTCAAAACCAAAGCACACACAAGCAATTTAAAAATGAGGAAGTACCTAAGAGCCCATGGAAAACCATGGATTGAAAGGGCACTAACACCTTCCCTTTCTATAATCTACCCCCCGTACTCAAAATCTCGAAAAAGGATTTTTTCTGTACTTTTTTCCTTTCTGGTTGGATGAAATAAAAGTCGGTGGCGACTCTTTCTTACCACGACATTTTGCAAACAAAAAAGCGCAAAACACAAACCAATATTAAACAGTCAGTTATGCCACCGTATCACAGATGTCAAGGAAAATCTCAAGGGAAATTAGAGTTTCTTCCCCATGGAGTTTGAATTGTCAATATTCACCGATTAAGACTCATTGGATCTTCATGACAAAGTTCTTTTGGTCATACATATTTCCATATGCATTTTCAAGGTTTCTTTAAGGCAATATTATGATGTTAATTATCAAATCATGGCAAAAAAGTGAAGTGGTGATCAAAACTTTTGTTTGTTAATATCAATGTGAGTAACTTGGTTTATTGATTGAGTTAGGGTTTCTTTGAGAAGTGGGAATTGATTTGAGTTCAGTGTTTAGGAGTATTTATTCAAACTTTTAAATGTGTTTAAAATTTCTTGATATTCAAATAAGCTAAGTCACAAGTTACAAGGATTTTACAAGGAAAATTCCTAATTTAAATTGAAAGGAATATTCATCTTGAATTCAAGTTCATTCAAAAAATCATCAAGATCATCCACCATTACAACTTCAATTTTGAATACCAAGAATAAAAGGAAAGAGATGTATATTCAAAGTTAAGGAGTTTGCATACAAAGAAAATTACATATGCCTTTTGAAACCTAAAATTATGCCAAACTTGGCTCTTCATGTCTTTCTATGCCTATTTTGTAGCTACCAAATTTGTCCAAAGACCTCCTTTGTCCAAATCGATGTCAAACAAGCACAATATTACCTTCCAGTCCAAACTTTCCGCCAAAATGTCCAAAAAGTTGTTGCAACCATAACTTGTAAAACCTGCAAAACCTGACAAGCCACACCAAAGCAGTTCATTAAAGTTGCAAACAAACTTGTAATAAACCATGTCATGTTGCTGTCCATAATAAGCCAAGAACTTGTTGTTGAAAGCAGGCCCCTGCACCTCTAAATGACCAATCCAAACAAGTCCAAGAACATCAGTCCAACACTTTGCACTAGTTTCTGTCAAAACCTGTAAAACTTACACCAAGCTACCTTGTCCCTATCATGCTACTGACCACTGCTACACCAGTCTAAACACAAACCAAAACATTCCAAATTTCTGCAAAATAAGACAGTCCTGCAAAATTGCCAAAACAGACCTACAAACAAAGCCTAAAATCTGTTGCCACTATTGTGTTATTGTTGTCCCAAACCTACATTAAGAGAGCCAAGAATTTCACATAATCAGTGAGACAAAAACTATATCAAGAAAAGAAAGGAAAAAGATACCACAAGTGTTAAAATTCACCAAACTTTCCCCAAAAAACACTCACCAACCCACCTATATAACAACTTCATATCACATAGGAAAAGGGGATACTTGGTTCCTCTCATTTCAGACCAAAAATCTGGTAATAAAAACCAGATAAATTTTTTTCACACAAGAAAACTTAATCAAAAGAATTATATTTAAAACCTCTCATTAAAAATAATCTTCATACACAACTCACCCTTTCATCTTGTTTCATTCCATAACCTTGCCACTGTTAACAAAAAGAGGAAGAAACACACAAAGAAATCAGCAGAAAAGATAGAGGAAAAGATATAAAAATCAACCTATCAGTTCATCACCTTCATGATTTCATCTTTTCATCTCATATAACCATAAAGCCCTCTTGATTCAATCAAAAGTGTTTTGTTCACCATTCAACAGACCAATCGTAAATCCATCTGCAATTTCTTTCATCAAAAACATTATTATTGTCCGAAAGTTCCTGTAAATTTGGAGCAATATCAAATCATCACACATACGAGTTTGAAGCGGGAAACACAGACCAAACAATATTCAACACCTAGTAGAATTAAGAAGAAGGAAGAGATGAAGCAGTATCAGGAGCATATAGAAATTATTGAAGATTACCTGAGTATTTGAACTCTATGTCGACGTCGAAACTGCCAGACTAGCTATGACCTTGTAAGTTTTCTTGAATTTCTTCATACCATTGTGATACTCTTGATGCTATGAATGATAACCCCATATTATTTTCTTGATATCTTGTATGAATTCTGTTTAATTTGAGTTTTGTTAGATCTAGGGTTTTGATTGTTGTTTCTTCACTGTGATATTGTCTGGAATGCGAAAGAATAACTGTGGGAGATAATGAGGCTTCTGTGGAGATTATCCCTGAGTGAGAATTATAATTTTATAGTTTTGTTGGGAAAGCTTTGATCGGATTAGAGAATTTGGCAAGAAGTAGAGGAAGTATGAATGGTATTGAGAGAGAACTAGAAATAAAGTTAGTTGTCATTTTTTCAATCGGTAAAAATAGAGATGTTGGAGTATGGTTGTTGTCGGAAATCAATTGAAGAGGGATTAAGGTATCTACGGCGGAGGAAATTGAACAGATGAGGGATTTAGTTTGTTGTTGAGGGAGAACGAGACAGAGAGATAGATAAGGTGCTGAAGCCTCTAGGTTAGTTAAGGGCATAAGAGAGATGGATTCGGGTCTGGCCTGACCCAGTCTGCTGCAAGTTTTTATTTATTTATTTAAAGCCCTTAGTTTTGTTAGGCTTACCTCTAAGCCCAATCTATTCGTTTTTTGTTCTTGTTATTTTTTTAATTGGAAATATTAACAATTAAGTGAACATGATGTAGTGTTAAAGGCTTTGGGTGAGTGAACTACTGGTCCTTTGTTTTAATTAATATTATTATCCTAATTTGGTTTAATTTCTCTTCATATAAAAACAACAAAAATATGTTTACTTTATTAAAATCATAAAAAAATAATTAGGTTATATTTTTCTTTCTTTTATTTGAATCTTAATAACATATTCCCTTAAGTGACTTCATTTAAACGATTAAACTTCGTTTGATCGTTTTATGTCGAGTTAGACATTAAACTTGAAACCATACATGATAAATTTCTTAGGATAGATTTCCCCTTTCAAAAACTCATCATTACGTCTATCAACTACATGACAACATTAGGGTAGACATTCCCTTAGACTTTTCTTTTGCATTGCATATTTCCTAATTAAAACAAAAAACTTTCTTTCCTTAATCAATTACCCAAAAAAACTTAACAATTTCAAAATCATTCCATACTTAACAAAGACACTCAACAAATCAAATATTTCTTCAAAAGGGCATGTTATCTTCGTTCTACCGCGATACATGTCGTGCATATTGCTAGAATGCATGCGCTAACGTCACCCACTAAAAACACCAACAACCTAACATTTTCTATAAGAACTACGGTGTTCTGATTCCTTTACGAGATACATAGGCAAAGGGTTGCGAGACCCTCACGAGCGCACTAATAAAAACCATTTCATTTCCCTTAGCACGTATAGTTTTAGATAGACGCACCATTAGAAATAAACAATCGAAATGGATATCTTTGAGTAAAATGGATGTGAGGGTGCTAATACCTTCCCCTTGCATAATCGACTTCCGTACCCTCTCTTTTGGTTGAAAGACCATCTTATCCATCCTCTTGGTGTCTTCTCGATATTTCCCCTTTCTTCGGGATAAATAAAGTTCGATGGCGGCTTTGTGTTTTTTGCCGGTCACTTTACCCAGCAACGACGCCAAAAACATGATCGGTAAATTAGCAAGTGTACTAATTCTCCAATGTAGTAATAATTGGAAATCCTAAATTATCGATCTCAAGGACTGCGTATCAGTATCGAGTTCAATTAAACAAAACTTGAATTGGGGTTTTGGTTTGAAAATTGTCACTTAACCAATAGGAGAAAATATAAATTGGCTTTTCACTAATATGACGAGCATGTTAGAGGTAAATGTGTGATTTTCCCCTATGATAACCTTTACTTTTAATTTCTTCAACAATTTCATTAGCTTCAACTACCTGAATCTTAAGTTTGTTTTCCCCTAAGTCCTTAGTGGGAAATACTTTGGTCCTATATCCTAATACCTAAGTCCTTAGAGAATTATGATGAAACCAAACATTTATTTTATCCAAATTTTATAGGTAACCTATAGGTTATCCCTAGTCCTAGGTGATATCTACTTCAATCTAATCATTCAAAAACCATAACAATGGCGGTCCAACCCTAATTGTTAACCGTGAATCAATCCCCATTGATCCGATAGGAAAAGCATAATAACATTGAACTATTAAATTGAAAAGAAACTATGGTATCAAAATCAAGGATTCAAAATCATTACATTTTCAAATCAATGACACCCCTTAACATTGGGGAGGTTTAGCCTCTCATAGTATTAAAATGAAAATCAATAATAAAATTAGACATTAAAAAAGGTATGAATTCTTTGATCTTTAATTGCTATCGCTCATGAAGGAATCTTCGTCTCCAAATCTCTTGACAGCACCAATCTTTATCATTCCTAATCTTCTCCAGTCAAAAGTTCTCCAATTCATCATGGAAAGTCCTATAAATAGAAAAAGCTCATTTAGTTTGGTTGGAAATACCCAAATCACCCTCGTAACTTAACACAGGCCGTGTCAGGCAACACGAGTGCCCGTGTTGGACCTCTGGCAATTTAATTCTTGAATTTTTGGTTTAGGCACCCTAACATGGGCCATTTCAGCTGACACGGGTTCCCATGTCACACCCCTGACTTTCCTTATTCGTGGCTCTCGTCCTGGCTATCATCCTGACACGACTCGTGTCAGGTGACACTGATGGCCGTGTCAAGCCTCCTATAGGTGGATATTTGCATCTCTTCCAAAACTCTGAGTATTACACTGATTTGTCCCGATTTATTCTTTTGAACCTGAAAACATTAAAACACAAAACCAATGCATAAAAAGTGGCATAATGAAATAAAACACTCAACGACAAAAAGAAAGGATACAGAAAACAATGGTAAATAACTATGTAAAAACCACTGATTAGCTGTTAGCAGTCAGAAAGGAGGATTTTTCTTCCTTCATGGTTATGGGGGTATCGACAAAACTTACATGTAGAGGAAACTTACAAGTGCACTTAGGTCTAAGCATGACATATGCATAACCATTGTAACAAGTGGAATTGCAGCGCTGTTTCTACCAGGAGGGAGAATCACTCACTCAAGGTTCAAAATTCCTGTTCCAACATTGGATAACTCAACATGAAATATTCCTTACAAAGATGATGTCGCAGAACTTCTTCGGCATGCGAAGATAATTATTTGGGCCAAGGCACCTATGGCCAAAAAATGGTGTTTCGAAGCACTTGACAAGACATTGAAGGATCTTATGAGTGTGGTTGTCAACTCATTGAGGTGTTTGGTTGAAAGGTTGTTGTCTTTGGTGGGGACTTAAGATAGATTTTGCCGGTAATATCGAGGGGATCAAGATTTGACATTAAGCATTCAATAATTAACATATCCTACATTTGGCACTCGGTACAGGTCTTGACGTTGACCAAAAATATGCGTCTGAACTGTGGTACAACGGAAAACTAGCAGAAGGAAATAACAGAATTCTCCGATTGGCTACTAAAAATTGGAGAAGGCAGACTTGGAGGTCCAGATGATGGTATGGTTGAGATAGAATTTCCAATAGAAATGTTGATCATTGAGTACACAGATCCTATTGTTGGCATCATACAAGCACTTATCCATAATTCATCGAAAACTTTCATGACTAAAACTAACTAAAGAGCAGGGCTATTTTGGCGTCAACCATCGATATGGTAGACAAAATCAATGATCATGTGTTACCCATGATGGCAGGTATTTTTACATGCTTTCATTTTTTTTCCTGCATAATTCCTACAATAAAAATTTGGGGCCTACATCTTTTGAACTTTTTTTATAGGTGACTTGAGGGATTACTATAGCTCTAATTCCGTCGATCGGTCCGGGATTCATGAGAGAGACATGCTTGATGTTCTCACTCTAGAATTTATGAGTTCTTTAAAATATTCTAGTTAGCCAAACCATCACATCATACTTAAGATTGGAACACCCATTATGCTAATTCGGAACATTGACCAATCTAAAGGGTTGTGTAATGGTACACAACTTATTGTGACAAAAATGGCGTCACACGTACTGGAGGCACATATTATGGGGAGCAAAAGACATGGCTGCATCGACTATTTTCCAAGAATGAATATGTCCTCTTTCCAATCTCCCTGGACTTTAAAGCTAAGCAGGAGACAGTTGCTAGTGATTGTGTCATATGCAATGACGGTTAACAAGTCCCAAGGTCAGTCCTTAGATTGGGTGGGTCTTTATATTCCTCGCGACGTTTTTACTCATGGCAAAATCTAAGTGGCACTATCAAGGGTTACCAACTAGAAGGGAATCAAAGTTTTGATACACGGCAACAACATCGCCAAAGTATCTACAACAAACGTCGTTTACAAGGAGGTTTTCCACAACGTATGGTGGTGGCATATTTTTAATAACATGCTACAATATTATTGTGAAAATTCCATATGGGGTCAGTCTGATTTCGCATTACATGACCCGACCTTAGCTTGTCCCATGTTGGTTATATTTTAAAATATTCCTATTATGAAGAATAAAATTTATCAATTTTATTGTGATGGTGTAAATCTTTACTAACACAGTTCTTTGTAATTAATATACTGAAATATCATGATAACTGACACAGGTCATTGTATAACAAGACATAAACTAGTTGACCAACTTATGGCATGATAAACAACAACCAGATAACAATGCAATTGTTAATTAAATACAACATGGACTTAATATACACAACACCATATCCTGATTGTGATTAACCTGCAACACAATATATATAAATCAACATAAAACAAAGACTAATTGTTAATGTTTACAACCACAAAGACTAGTCGTCAATGTTTTCTTGAGAATCCTTACTAAAGCCCTAGTCTTTCAAGGAACAAGCAACTCACTGTTAAATACAAGTTTATGTATTTACAACATTCCTTCTTGAAATCAGATTATACATAAATGAAGAACAAGTAATAACACAACAAGCTTAAGCAAGTTAGCGAACAACTGTTCCTTTTACAAAACTTTACAAAGTTTTTTAGGC